TTCTTGAGTTATAACCACTCACTCAGTGATCATTCAAATTTGTGGTGGTGTTGAACAAGGGGGAATTACAACTGGTCCTCAGAGTTCTACCTGTCTCACTATCCTCATAGTCACATTAATCAATTTCCAAAGTTCCCTGCTGACTTCCGTCAGGTCAATGGGGAAGCCAGCAGGAAGTAGGAAGTCGTGATCATGTCGGACCTTTCCTTGCTTAATGACCCCTTCAGTCCTTGCTTAACGCTGGCAAATGGGACTGTTGGAATTGATATCACTAAGCTACTCAGTCACATGGCATTGTACTTTACAACCATGGCACATAACGAGAACAATTCCGATACCAATTGCCATTGTAACTCAAGGACTACACCTTTTTTATACACATTCAAGAATGAGACCAAACAACCTATAAAATGTACTTCTAACCTTGATCAAGATATCAATGGAATGAATGAGTACTTTGATTTCCTTCTGACTTGTTCTTCCTCTAACTACTTGGACAATTTCATTCATATTTGCCTCCTGCTCATAGCTTGCTAGTACTAGAGTTTCATGCATTCTGCAGAAAGGCGATAACTACAATAACAGCCACATCGACTGTGGAAAGGCTAAACTGTCCTCACCAACCCTGATTCATTACACCAATACTCATATCATCACCCTTCCTTTTTCTCTTTCCAAAAAGAACTCACTCTTTATTTTAAGAGTGCTGGAAGAAATCCCTGCTTGGTTGCTCGCTCATTCATTCATTCATTCATTCATTCATTCATTCATTCATTCATTCTGTAAATATTAAGTTAGTCAGGTAGGGCTGAATCAGAGAAGGAGATGTCTACTTACCCTAGTCCCTAAAACCTTTTCTGCTGCACATGTGAATACACATACCGTGTTTTCCCGAAAATAAGACCCTGTCTTAAATTTTTTGAACCCTGAAATAAGTGCTTGGCCTTATTGCCATGTGCTCAAAAGCCCAATTGGGCTTATTATCAGGGGATGTCTTATTTTGGGGGAAACAGGGTATATACAAAGCAGTAGTGGTTTTCACTTACCTTTGCTACCAGTTCAGAACTGTGAGCGTGTTTCGGTGTGGTGCTTCTGCGCATGTGCAGAACCTTCTGCGCATGCACAGCGCGTCCGTGATGACGTCGATGGATGGGTGGAGCCTCCCACCCCCACTGCTGCTACCAGTTTCCCCGAACCAGGGCGAACCGGTAAAAACCCACCACTGATACAAAGACTCTCAAAGAACTGAACTGTGCATTTCCTGCTCCATAAAGGTAGCTGTGCTAGTGTATCTGGACCTGATACCAAACTGCAACACAAATAAGGGAAAAGAAAGAAAGAAAAGAATCCAGTTCGCTATGGCATGGCATAATGACTTGTTGTTATGTAACATAATGATTTGTTATCGTGTTGTTCATGTTAGCAATTATATTATGCTCAGTTGTTTAGCATGGGCCACACAGATTCCAGTGGATGAACAACACTACCCTCTACTGGGCAAAAAGAATTTATCCCAGGTGATTTTTAGAAGAGGCCTTCTTGGAGGACACCACCTAGATAACAATCTTTTCCTAAATACGCCACTTCTTTTCACTATGATGAATGGCAAACAATCATATGACCAAATCTGAGATGCACGGCTGTAGACTCTTATTTCACTCAAGCTGCCCTCTATTTTATTTCTCCCCCAGGATATGGGAACTCAGAGATATTTACAGTTGAACTTCAAGACCCATCAGATCATTGGAACTGCCTGTTAATGGACCAGCACTCCATCGAGCCTGATTTAAGCCAGTGGTATCAAGTTGTGATAGCCAATTCCCCATGTTTTATTTTATACCACCCCACACCCGTGCCCACATACCTAAGCACTGAGTATATTTAACTCATATATGAATAAAAATGATGCAGATATATTATAAACACTTCACAAATATTCTCTATAATATATTGTACTATTATATATACTACTGTATATGTATTATTATATACTAATTATAGACTAATAGTCTTTATATACTATTATATACTAATAGTATATAAAGAATATTAGTATTAAAGAGTGTAGAATATTATATTCTATAAATATAGAATATTTATATTCTATAAATATACTAATGCTATTATATACCATGTGGTGGGGACCGGCTGTGTTTAAATATTTTCGGGGGTGGTGGTGGTTATTTTTAGGGAGAGCTTATTTTCATAGGGGAGGTTGTTATTTCATTCTGTAAATATTTAGTTAGTCAGGTAGGGCTGAATCAGAGGATGCTGCACACATTAATGTGTTTTCATTAATTAATTAATTAATTAATTAATTAATTCATTCATTCATTCATTCATTCTGTAAATATTAAGTGTCAGGTAGGGCTGAATCAGAGGAGGAGATGTCTACTTAACCTAGTCCCTAAAACCTTTTCTGCTGCACATGTGAATACACCTACCATGTTTTCCCGAAAATAAGACCCTGTCATATATTTTTTTGAACCCTGAAATAAATGCTTGGCCTTATTGCCATGCGCTCAAAAACCCAATTTGGCTTATTATCAGGGATGTCTTATTTTCAAGGAAACAGGGTATTATATTACAGTATATAATAGCATTAGTATGTTATAGAATATACTATAAAAGAGTATTAATATATAACAGTATAATATACATACAGTAGCATATATGATAGCACTATGATATATTGTAATTCCAGCAATATAATATTCAATTGAAATAAAGACTTCAAAGCACAAAAGGATGAATGTCATTAACCACTACAATCAGAAAACCTTACATGAAACAAACCGCAGCTTCTATTATTTTCGAGAATAATTTTCAAAATAAGCATTAATTCCTGTTTAAGAAAAGGTGATAGAAGCAGAAAGCAGGATACCCTCCACCCGTATCAGTTTCACAGACCCAGGCCAGACGTCCAGATTTCAAGACTGATAGCACTTGCAGAGATAATCCAAAAGATATTGTCATATGAACTCTCCATGCCGCCGGAAAAAATGCATTCCATGTTTTTCCACCATTTAAATTTCAGACTGATGAAAATACTTTAAACTCAATAGTCATCATGTATCCCCACTTTAATCTCAGTAGTTAACCATCACTTTAAAAAAAAAACCTGTGGCTTTGCAGAACATAAAGCTTTTCCTCTGGAATTTTAATGCAATTCCTCTTCAAGACAACCTGTTTACATAATAGCACATCACCTCGGCAGCTGTCACTATGGTAAAATTAGGTTCCCCACCCTGCTTCAGAATGGAAACTACTATTAGTGGCCACATTCCACTTCAGACAATATTATCTTTTTGACAACAAGCAGGAAAATAAACGAAGAACAAAATCACAATATGGGAAAAAAGGACAATTTCTGAGACTCTTTGTTAAATGCGGATTTAACAAATTTCATGTTTATAAAAAATACCAAATGTGGGATATACATAAAATATTCAGGGTTTGTTCCATATAAATTATAAAATGCAACGATTCTCTGTCCCTTATCACTATCATTTGGACCAGCAATGCTTCCTCTCTGACTAAAATTAACCAAGATGTCATAAGCACACCAGGAAATTCATGTGCAGATAACTCTTGTGTAAGTGACACCTGGGACTGGCAACTTGGTCATTAAGTGAAGCAGTTGTTAAATGACACCATGACTGTGCTTATAATTTTACTTCAGCTTTTCTTTGCTTTATAGACCTGCAAAAGTTGTAAATGCAAGGATTGGTCGCAAAATTACTTTTTTTTATCATTGTCATAAGTTGCAAACAGCCTCTAAACAAGGCAGTACTATACAAGGATTTATTTATTTTATTTATTTATTAGAATTTGTCAAACAAAAACGAGAACAAGAATAAAAGAATAAAAATACAACGACAGGGATGATAGGCATGTTACTGCACTTACACACGCCCCCTCTCCTGACCACTTAAGTATGATGTAAGGTCCACGGAAGTCTATTTGTGATTGAAACTGTGAAAATTTGTAGCTGAAACAACTGAATCAGGTAGAACGTTCCAGACTTTGACAACTCTATTACAGAAATCATATTTTTTACAGTCAAGTTTAGAACGATTTACATTGAGTTTAAAGCAGTTGTAGCGCACATATTGTTGCAATTAAAACAAAAAAAGTCATTTACAGGTAAAACATTACTACATATAATTTTGTAGGCAATACCTAGGTCTGACCGCAAGCGACGCAATTCTAAGTTATCCAAACCGAGAATTTCCAGCCTAGTAGCATAGGGAATTATATTGTGTACAGAGGAGTGCAAGACTTTTCTCGTGAAATACTTCTGAACCCGCTCGATTGTACTGATGTCAGATATATGGTGGGGATTCCAAACAGTAGAACAATACTCTAAAATTGGTCTTAGATTATTGTAATATTTTTCATTTCGTTCTGCCCTCAATGATTCTGCAGGACTACTTCCCTCCGACTATATCTGCTTGACCATAAGACCTGGCAGAAAAATGTGCTTCAGTCCTTTCTATGGAAGTGTCACATAGTGGTATCCAGATGTGCTTTCTCTGTTACAACACATCCTTGTGCAACATCACCACTTCCCTTGACCCTTTCCTGACTCCCTAAGGCCCTGGAAACCCGGCTCTTCCACCAGGCATTGGACTTGAATGCAAGATGAGCTCATCCAGACAAAAAGACCCTGAATGAGATATGCATTGGCTAGCCTTGGTGAATTCTTATTTCTTTAATTACTCCATTGTTCTTTTTCCATTCTAGATATTTATTGCATTATATTTTCTAGTTCCTTGTTTTTGTCCTCCTATCAGCTGAAAGATTTTAAGATTGCTTTTTTTACAAAATTGGATGGCCCTACCTACCTACACAAAGGCATACTAAATAGCAAGGTAAGGTATCCAGCATTTTTCTTCCACCATTTTACCAAAGTCTGCATTGACATGGACACAGGTTTCTGCCTTTCAAGGATATGAAAAAAAATTCAGCCCACCACCCCAACTGCTGCCAAATCCTACCTGTGAGGATGGAGACACTGTGGAAGCAACTATCCAGCTTGCCCAGAAGAATAGATAGGAAACTGTCGGTTGCCAATCCATTTACATCCCTTGTACTCTGATCATAGACCACAACATCTTGGTGTTTCTCTGCCTCCACCTGCAAGAGTAGCATCAAAAGAAAACATGTGAGAGGATGCAAATGGTACTCAAAACATACAAATGTTAGAGAGCTATCAAACACGTATGAAAAACAATTGAAAATGTCTTCACTATTCCTCTCCAGACATATAATATTCCTATGACATCTCATTATCTAAAAACGAACCCAGAAGTTTAAAAATACAATTATGACTTCCATAAAGGGGAAGCGGAGGGAAAGAGAGACAAATTTTGCTTCCTATCACAAAGGCAAAGTGAAACTGAATGCCATGAAAAACAATAGCATTGTTTGTTTATTGTTGTGTTCTTACTGCAGGGAAAGAATTATTTGTAGATTAAAAACAAAACAAAACAGAGTATTAGTTTAACTTAATTGATCTGGATATTATGCGAGGGCAGGGAGAATTAATTCATTTAAGGTAGAAAAATAAACCATAATTATTCTAGTGCTTATATAGAACTTTGAATGTAAGTTGAAACCTATGTAAGGAATGTATTTGTTGTGTTCCTTTGTGGACGGATTCTTCATCCAGATTGTTAAAAAGTGTTTTTCAGAGCCAAAGCAGAAACAAACCTTGCACATTCTAGATTGCAGGTCATTCCCCCATATTAGAATTAACTCTTCTTGTCCACCTGGCTGGGCATCAGTTACTTTCTCAATATGTTTTAGTAGTATAGGATCTTTTGGGTATGGCATATACTCAAAATGTAGTCCCCTGAGGACTGGGAACAGAGAAGAAGGTTAGCAGATTTCTTTAACACAAAATAACCAAGCCAGCCTCATTTGTGTCCATTGCACTGATCTCTACAGAAAAGCAGATACAGGATTCACCAGCATTAAAATTGCATGAATACATCAGTGCTCCCCAGGTAGAGACAAAAGGGGATTCTTCATGATGTCAAGGCGCATGGAATACCCAGGCAATGAGATGAATAGTCTAGGCAGAGAGCAAGGCACAGGCAAGGGTTGCTGTGCCTAATGAAAGGTTAATGCATTAAAGGCTGATGAAATCCTCATAGTGCCATGGCTCAGTGCATCCACTGAATAGGCTGATCAGTGGCATACGCCGTCCTTCCGAGCTGGTGGCCTTCTGCCCTCTGGAGCAAAGCACATCTATCATTCCGCTGTCAGAGAAAGGCAGCTGCGATGAAGCAAGGTTACAGAAAGGCAGAGAGAGAAAGAAGCCAACTGCAGATAAGGTGGAGGGTGGGGGACCCACATACCTCTTTCCAAGTTGTTCCATGACTACAACAATACTGGAAGGAATTTAAAATCAAGATAATTTTCATCATGCAGAAATGTTCAATGTGTTATATCCCCCAAAAAAGAGAGAAAAAGTTATAGACTCAACAATGATTGAGTTATGCCCTCAACAATATTGAGTTGAAATTATCTGGAACATTTATTTATTTATAGTTGCACTCTGGAAACTCTAATGGGGCAGGGTTTTTTTATGATTTGAAAAGTGTACAAATCAACACCTAGTCCTGATCTCATGTACCTCATCACCCCATCAAAGGAGGGAAGGGAAGGAAGGAAAGGACACACCTGATTACAGAGCCCACTCAGTAATTTCTACAAAGGTTAGGAAAGACAATCAGAAATATCAATATAGCCCTCTCCCCCGACACTGAAGTGTTCACCTTACTCCTTTCCCGATCCAGGACAACTGATCCTACTATGAGTTGGAAAGTAGGGTTGCCAGGTCTGCTTCCAAAAAATAGCGGACAAGCGGGGGGGGGGGGGGGGGTAAGTAGAAAAAAAATAAAAAAAATTTTTACAATTAAATTATATATTTTCTTACAAACATTTTAACACGTATTAAAATAATCACTTCAAAACTTTACTTAAAATTCAAAACATCAAATATATTATAATAATATGTAAGATATTAAATTACATTTTACTTTGCTGTCGTGTGTATTTTTTATTTGACTGCGCAGCTTTGATCAATTCTTTGTGTTTAAGGAATAATTCTTTAATTTCAGTACAACGTTGAGAAATATTAAAAAATATACAAAGTTCACTTCGAACTGATGGTACAAGCAGTCGGTTACGTTCGTCAGTCCACAAATTTCCCATGACGCTGAAAATTCGTTCAACGTTTGCATTTGATACCGGAATTGATGCACTGTGCCTCCTAAGATCCTTATTCTCTTAGACTGTACAGCTTTAAATTACGTACCATTTCATCATAAAGCTTTTGAATAAAAAAAATGTCCACTATTTTGTGAAAAAAAATAGTGAACATAATGTGAAAAAAGCGGACTGTCCGCTCAAATAGTGGACACCTGGCAACACTATTGGAAAGGCAGAGCCTCAGGCAAGCAGAAAAAGGCATTCTCTGCTTCCATGCAAAAGATTCTCAGGCTACAAGAATAGCTTACGCTACAATCTCATTTACCCAATGGCCATAAGAGTTGCTAGGTTGCAAGCAGAAGAAAACATGTTTACCTTCAAAAACTCCAACAAGCAGAACTAGAGACAGCTGCAACTTCTTGACTTCATCATCCCCCTCCTTTTGCATCTGTACTAGTACAGTACCCAATATATAGGAATAGGAGGTGGGGGGGAGCAGGGGATATTTAGTGTGGAATTCACAATTAACACGAGTATGGATAGGATAAATGATGGATTAATTATAGCCAGAGTTACAGCCTGCTGACTTACCATTTCAGATTTGGGGGGAAAGAGCGTATTCCATTAGTGTGCAGGTGCTGCCAACACATTCCTCTTAAGACACAGGCATGCATTTCAGACAGCAAATCAGATGTGGCATCTTCACAGAATTAAATGGGCCAGTTGTGATAATGAAGCTTGATGAATGTATTGAAAATGAACAGCAAAATAAAGCTGATATGGGAACGTACTGTATACAATGGCAAATTCCTCTAATCAAGCTATTCACTAGAAAAGGAAATTTAGCACAGAGTTCACAGCATCCTAAATTGCGGAATAAATTAACAATGGCACTAGGAGCATCTTCACAGAGTTAAGAATACGATAATCCATTTGGAATAATTCCATTGGAACATATGTGACACAACCATTCCCAAGATGGTTTTCAAGTGCATTGTTATTAACTAAGGAGTGAGGAATGTATTTTTCTACAATTCCAAGCAACTAACGTTTGAAAAGGCCGTAGAAGTCCAAACAAATTCGACAACCAAGGTACCTTTCTCTGGACACAGAAGAATGGGCGAAACCCACTTGCAAATCCACACAGAAAACAGGTTCTGTTTTATTGTTTTGAATTCCCTGGACCTGTTTAAGTATATGGAGTTGCCTGGCAACTTTCAACATATCCCTTCTGATTGACTCACGTCTGCCTGACAGCATGAAACTTCAGGGATGCTAATTTAACTCTCAATTATGACTGTCAAAACAAACCCCTATAAGAGAACTGCGGAAATAATTATCAGGCATGTCAGATTTCACTAAATATTTCCAGGGGAAAGGACTGTTTGCTTTTGCTCATAATATCCAAAACTCAGGAGGAATCGAATCAAGAAGCAGAAGGATCATCGGGCATTGTGACTGGAAGGGAGAGAACTGCCCTCTAAAATACAGAGGTTTTCTAGCTGTTTCATCATTGGCAAACATGTATAATCATGCATGTATATACTTAAAATCTTGCTATCATTGCTGAAGGGATAAAATCAGAGTCCCAAAGATGCAGATAGCATTGCTCTTATTTTATTTATTTCATTTATTTGATATGGCAACAGCACTCTCAGTCCGAACTTATAGAACAAATATCCCTGCTGGAAAATTTTAACAAGATGGCAATATTGTAAATGTTTGTGGAGATTCTCAGTCATCCAGGTCATAGTTGTCTCAAAGATGGGGTTTTTTTTTCTCCTTCCAAAGGCAACTGGATTATTTTTTCCTTGAGGAAGAAGAAGAAAATGTTTCACTTCTCATTCAAAATGTTCATTTTGAACTTGAGAATCTGAGCTTTTCATCACATTAAAGAACATGATTGACTGTTTCATGTCTGTTTCCTGACATGCATGTAAGAACCTGTGTTACGTGAAAATCCTATGCAACAGGGCAGGAGTTACAGGTAGTCCTCCACTTACAACAGTTCATTTAGTGACTGTTTGAAATTACAACAATACTGAAAAAAGGTGACTTATGACCATTTTTCACACTTATGACCGTTAAAGCAAAGTAAATGATCACATGATTAAAATTCAGATGCTTGGCAACTGGCTCATATTTATGACGGTTGCTGTGCCCCAGGGTCATGTGATCACCTTTTGCGACCTGCTGACAAGTCAGTGGGGAAACCGGATTCACTTAACAGCTGTGTTACTAACTTAACAACTGCAGTGATTCACTTAACAACTGTGACACGAAAAGTCGTAAAATGGGGCAAACTCACTTAACCAATGTCTCACTTAGCAACATAACTTTTGGGCTCAATTGTGGTCATAAGTTGAGGACTACCTGTAGAGTAGCATTTCAAGGGGGATGTATACAGATGATTGTTGTCATTATAAGTTTAGTTAAAAACCAGTACCATGTAACATTATAAAAACACACTCAAAGGGGGCATAGAAATAATCCCTCAGTTTCTAGACTCAAATACGATTGTGAAAAAGGGCCATTTATGCACAGACTAGATACCCTGCTTGCTGCTACAGGTAAAAGAACACACAGGACTGCTCACTATGGAAGAAATTAGCAGCCTCGGAAGCAGAATTATCCTACACTTGGAATTAGGGTTGCTTGCACATGGCAAGTGCTTTGTTTGGGGCATTATTGAAGAGTTGCCGAGCAACGGCAGATAGATGCGACACAGTTTATATCTTATTAAAGTTATAGGGTTTCAGGCAACAGAAATGCCAGACAAGCTCTGGCAATGCAGAAGCAGCCTACGCTGAGTAAACACGGCGCTGCCTGGACAGAGTTCAGAAGGGCACAGGATAGCGAGAGAGGGCGGGCATGATTTGTTTCAGCTCAACAGGATCTTTTTTTCCTTTAACCAAAAA